TTGTCAGAAGAGGTTATGATGATGTTTTTGTTCGTGGATAAGTTTTTAGTACCCGTATGTATCTCCTGGGTAGTGTAGTCTCATCGCTGTTTCTGAGGGTGGTGTAGCGTACGTACCAAATATAGCGTTGGGTTGATTCACTAAATCTAGCAGGAACACCAAATATATAGGTACTACTACTATTTATATTAATGATTCTTCCACGTACAGGATTCAAGAAATAATAACAACAACTCCAATTTGTTAACCAACAAATATATATTGAATAAAATACAACAACAAGCATGAAATAAAATCGTATTCCCAATGTAGATTAAAGAGAAGGAAGTTGTTTCCCTTTGACTGTAGATTGATTGTAATCAACCATTTGAAGAAAATTCACTTGTGAGATAAATGTTCCGAAATAATTGTTAGAGCAAAGTTTGCATGTGAAGAATGAATAACACCAAGAATACAATTGCTTGAAATGTGTTGTGAATAAACTGGTTTGAATCAACAAAGTTCTGGTTGATTGTGCTTGGCAAAAGTTACAGGGAGAAAATGTAAGGGCTGTAGTTACGAAATTCTGTGTCTGTGTGTGCGTTAGAGCGTGATGAGCAATATCGTGGATTTGTGTTGACGGCTGGGATCTTACTGGATCTTACTGGCGAAAAGTCGCCCTATTTAAGGAAAAGAGGTAGGCTCCTACGGAACCGCGGGAAAACTTGATCTTACATTAAAAATATGCGATTGGTTAAAAATTAACCAATCACTACACTCGTACTAAACAGAATAGGTAAGTACGCTCAGAACCAAAAGATTCAAAGGAACGACTGCGATGGCTGAATTGTCCTATACAAACGTAGTAGTAATTTGTTAGCCAATCGTAAACGAATAAAATGACTTGGAGTGTATGTGGGTGTGAAAAACATAGCAACCGCTATAGTGGCTGCTAATATACCTCGAATTCCGTGTTGTTGAATGTATGATTTTTGATTAAGGTTATGAATGTGCCATCTTTCTTCAGTTCGATGGAGAATTTCAGGCTTGAACTTAAAGCCTCGGTTTCAGTGACAGAAAGTTTGAATTTGGAGATGTGGATAAGACTCGTATTACCGATCTCTTTCAATCTGCTATTCGTGCAAAGGTCGTAAAGTTTGTGTTTTAACCGATTAAACAGTTTGCAGTTTATGTGTGATATTGTTAGTCGCAAGATTTCGGCTTCGGATTTACAAAGTATATTTTCACTGCGTAAGATTTTTCCAATTGATGAAGCCTGTTTATTTGGTGAGCTTGTCACGGTGTCTGATTTGCTCTGCGCATGTGAGGAAGTAGTCGTGGGTGGGCTTGAGGAAGATATTATTTGTACTATTGATATGTCCCGGAAAGAGGTATATTTGAACGAAGTAGCTAAGTGGTTTTGGCTATTATAACCAAGTAGAATACGGTAGCAGTAATTGACTGGTACACGTCGTAGTCGCAGGTAAGAAGTGTAGATCAATGGCGTAGTCCAATGGGCATCGTTATAGACTTAGCTCTCAGACTAAGACTCTCTTCTCTGACTCTCCTACATGTCCGTCTGTATTTATGACGGACACCAGCCAATCACACTCCAGTGAGGGGGGACACAGGTGTACGCATATTCCATTATATCAGTACATTGAAAGTATATTTTGGAATTACTTTTTCGACAATGCAGTTGAGTAGGAAATTCCTTCTGTTTTGTAGAGAGGAACCGGATAGAATTTTTTGCGAAAATATAATGCCGTTGCTGCCTCTTTGAAGTGGTTTCCATGTTCAAAGAGTTAAAGATCAAATGCAGATCAAATATGGATCACAATCCGACAGGATGATAAAATAAAATGACAAATTGCAAACGTATATCAATCCTACATGTTTGACTTTTATTAAAGCTTCGTGCGAGGTTGAAAGAAAACAGATTAAAAACAGAGAAAACACTGGTATTTTCAATTTTGTTTGGATTAGTTCTCAATGGTCATTATTACCAACGAAAAACACACGTCTAAAACATTACATTACACCGCCAACTTTCTTTAATTCTTAAAGAATCTAACTTATATCTAATACAAAGAATATATACTTAAAGAGGCGAACCATAAATTAGAATCTTGTAATCCCCCGCTACGAAGATAAAAAACACTAGACAGACACACGTACACAATTACAAATACACTTTACCATCCGATACCCACTTAGACATACAAGAATCTTCACAAGCCTCCATGTACATACAATTATCCACTCCACAGTTTTAATACACGTGACACCTATCTGACCAATGAGAAGTGACCCAAACACAATTGAAAATACCAGAGTTTTCTGTCTTTTTGTCTGTTTTTCTCTCTATCTGTGAGGAATCTTTAATAAAAATGAAACATGTTAGATTGATATACGTTTCCTATTTGTTCCTTTATATTATCATGTCGGATTCAGATCTATATTTGATCTGCATTTGATCTTTAACACACACACACACACACACATATATATATATATATATATATATATATATATATATATATATATATATAAGAACCTTTGAAGTCAACACTCAGACATACTGGATACAATCGTCAGGCCGGGGCTGGACGCAATCGTCAGACATTAGCGGCCTGACGATTGCGTCCAGCATGAAACAGCCTGTCACCTCTGTCACTTCATTGTTCCTTTTATATTTATATTTACATACGCTTTATCTCTGATATTTAGCACTTTATCTCATAAATAAATATAAAACACATTTCTTAAAATATATATATATTCATATATATATATATATATATATATATATATATATATATAATTATTTATTTAAAAATATGATTCCATTGCTACATATGAGTTCTCATGTTTCAAAACAAGAGCCGAAAATTTCAATATAATTATTTGAATTAAATTGAATTAAAGTACCAAGCTCTGTTCCATCTTCAAGCGAAATTTTTGGAATAACTAATTCTTGAAATTTACGCGTTTTTATGAGCAAAATTACTATGATAACGGCTAGAGCAATTATTTTTTTAAAAAAAGGGGGCGTAAGGGTTAATAATTTGTATCAATATCTCAATTACATTCAAAGAGGTCAAGTCAGGGTAAGGTTGGGGTGTCTAAATTTAAAGCGGAAGATGACATCGTCTAGTCTGGTTAAGTGTCTATGGAGATTTATTTATTTATTTATTTTATTTTCTTTCCTGAAAGGGTTTTGTGTATATAAAACTGTCATAATTAGCTAACATTTGTTTTGTTTTTTTTGGCGACTTCATAAAGGGATTATTATTATTATTATTATTATTATTATTATTATTATTTTTGGTAGGTCTTTAAAACTTTTTATTTAGACTATGGAGTTTAAAATTTGTATTTATTATTTAATTGTTTGTTTGTTTTTTATGCTAATTATTCAATGCGAAAATTTGATGATGTCAGCAAAAAACTGTTAACTCATGTCTATTGTTTATTATTATTATTATGTTCCACATTTTAGAAACGTGATAATGTGTAGTTTTTCATGTAGGCATAAAGGGCATGGGTCATCCCAAGTTTTACAAGTTCTAGTTTTGTTTATAATTTTCCATTTTACTTTTGGTGTTTTATTCATTTCCTTCAAATGCCACAAATATTTAGATAAGGATGTCTGATTTCTATTATTAATATTGTTGAAGGAGCTTTTATGCTGTCTCCACCTGGTTTTAAATTCATTCTTCGTAGACCCAGTGTATATCATATTAGTATTAGGATTCTCAGTGGATGAGATAGTACATTGGTATACCACAGATATTACGCGGCATATATTTTCCAATGGGCAGTCTTCTGGGTTTCTACAATCACATAATTTTTCACTATTTTTGTCTAATTTAAATTTAGGGTTTTTATTAATACTATTCTGGCATGGGAGTTTAGGATTTTATTGTTGTGTTTTTTTATTATACTTTCTAGATTTTCAGTGCAACTGTAACTTAATTTTAGGGTGTTTTATTAAAGATTTTACTAAGCGTGCTATTTGTAGGAAAGTTTTTTTCAATTAAAGCTAGGAATTTATGTCCTAGCTTAATACTAACCATTTGGTTGAACGGAGGGGTATACCAAATGATTTTTCCTGTTTTTCTTCTGGTTAGTACAATTGTTTCTATAACTGATGTTAGCATTTTTGTATCCGCTATTTTTTAAGGCTGCGTTATAAAAATTGCTGTGTTCTTGAAATATTTCTTTATTAGCGGAGTTAATGCTGATTCTTTTCTCTATTGATGAGGGTATATGCTTAATTATGGATGGAGGGTGGTTTGACTTAGGGTGTACATACAAGGGGTTAGTGTTAGGTTTTCTATAAGGTAGGTATGTGCTGTTTATTAAATCCAGAGTTACGTCGAGGAAGTTTACCCTTTTTAATTTTGTACAGACTGTTGTTTTTAAATTGAGTTTCTAAATTCACTATATATAATCTTTCTAATTTTCTCTATTTTAAAATTAATGGAACTCCTCACTACCATGAGCCCGTCATCTCTGTACAGCCCGATGTCCTTAATATCTAATTCATGGTGCGCGGTTAGGTTTTTTTTTTAAATAATTGCTCTAGCCGTTACCGTAGTAATTTTAATTTTAATAATAAATATGCTTATAAAAACGCGTAAATTTCAAGAATTAGTTATTCCAAAAATTTCGCTTAAAGATGGAACAGAGCTTGGTACTTTAATTCAATTTAATTCAATTAATTATATTGAAGTTTTCGGCTCTTGTTTTGAAACATGAGAACTCTTATGTAGCGATGGAATCATATTTTTAAAATAATAATTATAATTTAGACTCTAATTTTGTATCGAGCACTGTTTTTTAAAAAAAAAAACAATAACAAAAATACTAAAGAACTTTGGATTCTTTACCTAACGAGTTCTTTGCTATTTTCTATATATTTTCACACACACACACACGTATACATATATATATATATATATATATATATATATATATATATATATATATAGAGAGAGAGAGAGAGAAAAAGAGACAGAGATAGATAGATAGATATAAAGAGACTGAAATAGATAGATAGATAGATATGAACATGCTGCGATAGATAGATAGATAGATAGATAGATAGATAGATAGATAGATAGATAGATAGACTGACTTTCTCTTTGTCAACGGTTTTTTAAATTGTTTCTCTCTTCTAAATTATTCCTCTTCTAACGTTCTTTTTTGCTTGAAACACCTTCGAAATCAATTCAATCTAACCTGGTATTATTTTTTTTAATTCTCCTGTACTCACCTATTCGAGATTACTTTTTTTTTGTTGTTTTTGGGGGGTTTTTCCATTCATTTTCCTGTGCTTGAAGGAGTTTCATGGTAAACCTCAAACAAGTGTCGCCGAGACAGTTACGTGCGAAAACGTCCGACACCAATCACTCATTTTTTTTTTTTTTTTTTTTTTTTGTGGGCGGTTTTCTTTTTGAACACCGTTGCGGGGTAGGGTGGACAGAGTCCCCAGTTCGATGATGCGGGTTTGCGTGCTCGGGTACTTGCTTTGTTATCTTGCTGTCACCGAGAGAAAAGAATGATAAAACACATTGGAAAAGTAAGGGAAGAGAAAAGAGGCGGAAGTTAAAGGGATTGGAGAAAGAAAAACAAAAGATTTCATCGTGTCCCTGTTCATTACATTTTATTAACATTAGTAGTGGGCCAAATTCTAGATACCAAAATCAAACAAGGACAACAATTTAAATATCTGGGGCGTGTTTTAACAGAAGACGAAAAAATGCTGAAATTCAAAGGCGCTTTGGAATAGCCAAAGATGCCTCCTAAAAGCTAAGTAGAGTATTAAGAAACAGAAAAAAAATTGTTAGAAACAAAGAAAAGAGTAATGAACTGTTACGTAATATCAGTCCTCCTTCATGGCAGTAAATGCCGGATAATTTCTCACAGATGAAAATGAGAATAAAGGCAAAAGAAAAATGTATCTTAGTCGACGCTTTTTTTTTTCCTCTGAGGAACTTGATTAGGGCAAATGAAAGGATTTTATTTTTATATACAAGAGCAAAAAGGCTGTTGGTTTTTCAAATTTTTTTTAAATTTGAAAACGCTTATAAATATTCACCAGGTTGGTTGAAAAGCCTAGGCAAGCTATGGAGGACGCGAAGTGATACAATTCAGTGTCTAATAAACGAAAGTGAGTAAATGATGTTCTTGAATTTTTTTAATACAAATTAGTAATTAAATTATTTTAATTTGGGATTAATTTGTGTTATATATTTTAAATAACAACGGGTTATCAATTTAACCGTTTTCTTTTAATTTTTTAATAGACAAGTCATTTTTATAGTCATGCATGTTGCCTTGGAAAAGAAACTTGAAACAACAGAAATGTGGCTCTACAGAAGGATGCTGAGAATACTATGGACCGAACATGTGAGCAACGACGAAATTTTAGAGAAAATGGGAAAAAGGACACTTATGCTTAACATCAGAAAGAGACAGTTGAAATTTCTAGAGCACATAATGAGGAAAGAGGGCTTGGAAAATCTGATACTCACAGGACAGATTGAAGGCAAGAGAGACAAAGGAAAACAAAACATATCATACTTAGTGAGCTTGAGTAAATTGATGGCAGAACAAGATTTAGGAGAAATAACAAAAAGACAACATTTATTAAGATCTACAAAGGACAGGAAATTGTGGAGAGCCATGATCGCCTACGTCCTGAAGGGACAGGGTACATAGAAGAAAGATTAGAAACTCTCACTTGTTCTATAACATCACTTCCTGTTACTGCTTAATTGAAATTGTTTTGTTAGTTTAACGGCATATCAACACCTTATGGGTCATTTAATGCTGAAATTTAATTTTCTTGGGGGGCATTAGTATTTTTTTTTCCAAAACTGCATTGTTGCTAATTTTTTTTTTTTTCCAAAAATGTATTGCTGGTAATTTGTTTTGTTTTTTCTTTTTTATGTTTTTTTTTTTTTTGTTTTTGTTCTTTTTGGGGGGGGGTTGTCTTTTGTTGTTGTTGTTTTTTTTTTTTTTTTTTTTCAAAAATGCATTACTGATAATATTGTTTTTCTTTTCCAAAAATGTATTACTGGCAATATTTCTATTTTCAAAAATTTTTTTTTTGGTAATATTTTAATATGAAAATGTATTGCTTCTATTTTTATTACAAAAATGTATTTCTATATTTTCACAGTGTTTTGACCGTAGTTTGTGGGTTAACTATTTGCCCATAGCTGGGACCCTAAAACGTGCTACCGCCCCGGGTCAGGGTGGACCTGGGAACAACAGCAATGAAGCGGTGGTTCCATGCTCCTCAAAACCTCCTGATCAGAGGCCTTGCTGTCGTCATACTCAGCTGGTTGTAAAGAAATTATTAACATAGGCCGTTCGAACTAAGCTGTGTGAAACTTCGTTCTTACGTGTGGAATACGGAGGAAATGTAGCTGATTTGACCCTGTGGACGTAACATGTTGAGTTTTAGCTGTAAAGGTCTGGACTAGTGAAAGTAAATAATGGAGCTCGTTAGAACATCTGCCATAGAAATAGCGATAAATTACTGTGTCAATTCATGTAATTTCTTTAATACTAGAATGTTTTTTTTTGCAACACGCTGCGTTTCGTTCAATTTCACAAACCAATCGATGAAATTTGAATAAGCTGATTTGTTTGGAAAATACTTTAACAAAAACCCTACTTTGCGGTTTAATAATTTCTTTAATTTTAATGGTAAACAATATTTTTTCCGTTTTAACAGCGATGAATAAATTCTCAGGATTTCTTACTCTTGAGCATGCAACATACAACTGGCCATGCGTAAATATTTATTTCCGGAGTCAAATTTCAGCTTTTTGAAACGTTTGGTCTTGTGATTTGTTTAGTCCTCCAGGGTGAACTGGAAACTGGATTCTTCTGTATGATAAATGGGAATGTCAGTGTGTCACACTTTTTCAACATTACTCCTAAAGGCCCTAGACCAACCCTATCATACCATTTTGTTATCAGGACAACTCCGTCAGCAAATTAAAACATTCCGAGCTGGATCTGGACCCGCTATCCTGAAATCCTCAATTTTTCATTATTGCGATTGTTTTTGGCAATTTTTACGTGATTTTTGCGACAATTTTTTTTTTTTTTGTACGATGATAATTTTTATAACTTGGAAATAAATTTGGGAATAATCGAAATTATTTACGAAATTCAGCGAAAGTCACCCATGAAATAAAAATAATTGTTTGTACAGAAAGTAAGAACCTACGTACATCAATTTTTCTTTGAATTAAAATTCTGTCAGAAGACTTATCGTTGAACTTTAAAAAGATAAGCTTAAATATTAATTTCAATACTTAAATGCAGCAATCCATTTTGAGTTCTTATTGTTGCCTATCGCATCTACTCACCCATATCTAATGTGATGAAGGCCCAATCAAGATCCCTCTGCAGGGGCTAGCTTAAATGCCGCCCGATACGGCGACTTTTAAGTTAGTGTATATATAAAAACTTAAAGAAAATATATGCAAAAAAAATATATTGCATTTTTATTAAGTATTTGTTATTTTAAACATTAAAATGTTTTCAAAATAGTGCGAGTATTTTGTATGTTAAAGAATACCAATTTTAGTCAAACCAGCTGTACTTAGTACCCTGCTTGCCTGTTTGCACTTCCCCCTAAATTTGGTTTCAATCGGTCAATGTATGGCTATTTTAGAAGGTACGACGGATGAACAGACAACGGAAGTCACAGAATTTTATATATAGATTTAACATGAGCAAAGAAGATCAAGATGTTCAGAGCCTGACCGCTCATCTCTCTATTGATCTAGTTCAGTGGAGGAGGGAATTGGTTTGTAACATACTTTCAAAACAAAGCTCGTAACGGTTAAGCAACGACAAGCCTGGTTAGTAACTAGATGGGTGACCGCTTGGGAATACCAGGTGCTGTATGATTGGATGTGCGGGTGGTGTAATAATGGCTCGGAATTGTTAATCGGAGAGCCGAGTTCCAGTTACAGTTGGGTTCGTTATATTCACTTAGGTGCAAATAACCTTGGGAAAGATATGGACCCACCTCTTCTCTTCCCCAGCTATGGGTTAATTAATAAGACTTGTATCACTAAAGCATTACTATCTCCAAAATAAAATAAAAATATTCTTACAATCTAAAAATATGACAGATCAGATATGACAGCAATACTCAATGTATAGATCGAGAGTAGATTTATAAATGTGTAAGACGGATTCGGGCAAGAAAAATTATCTGGAACGTCACAGTGAACCCACTTTCCTAGCAGCAAACCTAGCAATTGATTCAATATAAATACTCTACTACATGTCAGTAGAAAACGTGAGACTAAGAAGGTGCTATGATTTTCTCTCGCGGTGGTTAGCATCAGCCATACTGACGGCGGGCAAAAAATGTTCTCTAAGATGATTAAAAAGGAGCTGTTCCGTTTTGGAGGCGTTAAAAATTTACAAGCCATTTCTTGCCCCAGTTAACAATCGAGTGGAGTTCAGTTTCGAGAGAAGCTGCCAGTTTTACTTTGTCGTACGTATCGGGCTTACTATTAAGACAGGAATAAATGCTGTGTCACCAGCATAGATATCTCATTGGGAACTGATGACATCGGAAAGGTCATTGATGATGATAAGAAACAACGTAGGTTTGGGGGACCGCCGTTTTAATATGAAATGATCTAGAAGCGTGGCCGTTCGAAACGATCTTCATTACCCGATTTGTTGTTGAGAATTAACATTCAGAATTAGGCTTTTTTTTTATTTTGTATTGAACAGCGACCACTAGCGGTGGTGTATATGCAATAAAATTAAGCAGCAATCTTTTCGTCTATTTTTAAAAACTAAATTTTTGTATTTGGAATAAAAGGCAAAGCTAACTTTAAATTGTAAATGAAGTGGAAGTTGATCTAATACGGAATAGTTTTTTTTTATTTATATATTTATCTAACTACTAATAATCTAATATATACAATCTCAAAGTTTGTTGTGTGTCCGCCCTAAGCTCTGGAAGTTAATTTTCAACACAATTTTGAGGTTTGTAACCCCATTAGAAATTATGACTTTAAAAAAAATGTATATGTTCAATACTTTTAACTGTGTCTGTAATTACTATAAGTAGAAATTAAGCTAAAACTGAGGTTGCTTTTAGAGACATTTAAAACTCGGCTGCCGTTGAGCGATTATCAATTACAAGCGCTTCCTGGATTTCAGCCTTAGATTAAGTTGTATTGCACATCAGCCGCTTATTTTGTGATGTCAATCCTCACTGTGTGCCCCATGCGTCTATTCTTTAACCAGACTAAGCTTCAAAAATCGTAATAATTCCACCCACGTTTTTGTGTATACGGGGCGGTAGAGACGGGGACAGATAGAAAAGGAGACTGCGTTCCTCCGGCATAACCTGCTAAATATCAATCGTGTTTCGCAGACTGCACGCGAACGGTGACAACTTGCCAATGCCTTCGCTCTGCATAGATGCTTTCCGGGCAATTCGGGAACTTTCTGTAACACCAGTGTGATTAATTGGTCTCTAAATTGCAGCTCGGAACAGACGAAATTTCCTCGGCGACGGAAAAACGTGAGAAATTTGCCCTTCTGCCCTGAAACGAGAATGAGATGGTTGTCTATTTCCCATTGGTACCAGCAATGGGTATTCAAAAACAGGCAACAACAAAAAAAATTCGAAGCCGCATTTTTAAAAGAGGCAAGTCTTACCAATATGGCTGATTGGCGTAATACAGACCTTCTCAGTTCTCAACATTTACCCTCGTACAATACTAAATTAATCTCAATAAATATCAATAATAATAATGGTACTAACTATTAAAGTGTTACATGTATTTGTTCGTTCAATTTTCCTGATATTCTGCGAATAATCTCGAAGAATAAACTTTCGTGGAATTTTTTGCTTCTTAGTAACCCTGGTCTTCCTGTGAAACTGTTATCTAACATTATTGAAATTTTATTTTGTATTGGACTTCAATTTGAGATGAAATGCCAAGTAGACATGAATGAGTCTGTTCGCCATTTTATCTTTTCTTTTAATCAAGGTCACAAAGCTATCAAAACCGCTCGAGAAATTTGTGCTGTGTACAAAGATGAAATGCTTCAAAACAACCAAATGGCCAATGCTAAGCTGTATGTTAAACAAATGGACAGGCCCAAAGAGGCAATTCAGCTGAAAAGACCTGACCGGTGATGCAGTGGGATCATTCTACATGACAATACTCGCTCCCGCATCGTTAACATGACTAAACATACAATTAAAGATTTTGGTTTGGAAGTGCTGACACACTCATCATATTTTCTTTATTTAGCCACTTCAGACTACAATATTTTTCGATCGCTCTCTAACAATTTGAGGGGTGTTTCGTTCAACAACGATGTGGAGCTTAAAACGTGACTTGTTGAATTTTAGTCAAAACCCAGTGATTTCTATCACCGAGGCATTAAGCAGTTAGTGGATCGTTGACAAGTGATCGTAAACAATGAAGGGGGATACCTTATTGAATGATTCGTCAGAACTATTACTAAATAATAAGTATTAAATTATAAAAACGAACGAATTTATGTAAAAACCTAAGAGAAGTACCCGTGAAAATTTCATGGTTCTCCTATTTTACTATTCAAATGAAACATAATTCTTAAGTTAATGATTGAATAAGCTAATGTCGAGTTCCATGACTATAAAATACCCGTGGAATTTCCCCTATCACATCGTTAAATATTTGAGATAAAAGCTTTAACAAAATATTACAATAATAGTCATAAGCATTCGCGTTAGTATAACATAGTTCATAGAATCCGAACAAAGTTGGTGAAATCAAAGTTAAAACCGTTTAATTAATATTATATAGGAATAAAGTGTCGCTGCTTTGAATATAGATCGCCAGTGAGCAAAGACAGGTGATCCCATTATTGAATTAAGTAGACCACGTGACCATAGAGGAAACGCATAAGTAGGAAGTTGCGTGACGACTAGCGATCTCCATTCTAGTCTATCCTCTATATTATACGGATCGTTATTTCTAGTCTATCCTCTATTACTATACGGATCGCTATTCTCTACTCTATTCACTATACTATTTCTCTGTTTGGATCACTACACTGGTTACTATTCGAACGAGTATTATCGAGCAAGTACTATTAGTACGAGTGATATTCGAAGGTATCTGACACCAGTACTGTTCAACGGCGTACTATAGTTGTATCTGCAGTTACGAAAGTGAGTATTCGTTTGCATTACAAAAGTGGCAACGAATGTTAGTTGATATCACAAAAATGAACAACGCGATTCACCTTCGTTAGGTATGCGACTTCAGGTCAGAATAAAAGACAAATCGGCGTGTTTTAATAAAATTAACAATCAACGGTTTTAATATATTAAAAAAAACGGTTTTAATATTTTAAAAAACACACAGATTTATCTTTCCTTCGGACCCGAAGACGCCGACCTAACGAAGGTGAAATGCGTTGTTAATAAAAAGGTTTTCCACTTTATCTAAATCATAAGTATTGAATGCAGGTCATAACTTAAAGAAGTAACGGGGTACAAATGAAAAGATTTAAAATTGCTCATTTTTTCCATTTCACTGGAGCAGACGTTAAACACACGAGCGTATTATCGCATCTATATTCACTTTCTTTGTTTCTTTCTTTTTCTCATTGAAACCAAACGGCATCTCTGATATGTCTTTTTCGTCTTTCCTCTCGATCAAAACGGAATATTCCATGATTTATGAGGTACTGGCATGATGTAACGGTCGTGCTTACAAAGGAACGGAGGCTTGAAGTAACAAGATGAATTATGATAGGGTAATAATACTAACACAAGAAGCAAATATGCCTGATAGTGAGTTTCGTTGTTCAGACAAACCAAAGATAAAATCTTAAAACACTAAAAAAATAATTCTTGAAAATTCTAAATTGAGGAATGGTTCCCCAAGAACGGATTTCATTGTCCCGGCAGACCACAGAGTAAATTTGAAAAAAAAATCTAATGATAAATATCTTACAGTTGCTAAGATGCGGAAAAAGTTCTGAGACATGAAGCGACAGTTTTACCATTAGTTAACGGGGCACTGGGATTTTAAAAAATATGGATTTCATTTAAATTGGAAAGAAAGCAAAAATTATAAATATCTCGACATTGCTAAGGTGCTAAGAAGGTTCTGAGACATGAAATGACAGTCGTACCACTCATTAACGGAGCACTAGAAAAAGTTGATTTCATTGTTCCGGCAGAGCACAGAGTAAATTTAAAAGAAATATGTTGTCAATATTACTAAAGTGCCGAGACAGTCCTGAGACGTATAGTGACAGTCATACCACCCGTTAACGGAGCACAAGGAAAAAAGTGGATTTTATTGTAGATTTAAAAGAAAGCGAAAATTATAAATATCTCGACATTCCTAAGGTGCTAAGAAGGTTCTGAGTCATGAAATGATAGTCACACTAGTCGTTAACGGAGTACTAGGGACAAGAGTCGAAGAAAAATAGGGTTTGCTGTTCTGGTAAACAACAGAGTAAATTTGAAAAGGAGGGAATAGATAAATATCCTGACCCTGCTAAGGAGTTGACAAAGTTGGGCAATATGAAATGAGAGTCATAAGCATTCGCGTTAGTATAACATAGTTCATAGCATCCAGTGTTTATCAGAGGACTAGAATCGGCACCCAAGGACCTCAGAAAAAAGAGGATTCCGTTGTTGCTACGTACCGCAAAATTTGAGACATGATGTGGCAGCCGTGCCAATCGTTATTGGAGGACTAGTAACGGCCTCCGTAGGCCTTGGAAAAAGTGGATTCAAAGAGACAATGAAAGGAGAAAATAAAAGAAAATAAAATGGAAATTTAGAAAGAAAGAAAACTCTAAGAAGGAAGAACGATAGAAAACCTTGGAATAAAAAAAAGATATTAAAACAAAAAAAATCTGGAAAAATAAAAAGAAAGCAAAAGAATAGAATTAAAAATAACCAAAGAAAGAAAGAAAGAAAGAAAGAAAGAAAGAAAAAGAAAAAAAGAAGGGGAATAAATTTAAAAATACCAAATTTATTTCTTTGGTTATTTTAAATTTTATTCCCTTTTTTTTAATAAAATTAAAAAATAATTAAAGAAAGAAAGAAAAAGAATAACATTAGAAAAAATAGAAAGAAAGACAAAAAGTAACCAAAGAAAGAAAGAGAATGAAATTAAAAATAACCAAACAAAGAAAGAAAGAAAGAGAATAAAATTAAAAATAACCAAAGAAAGAAAAGAAAAGAAAGAGAATAAAATTAAAAAAAAACAAAGAAAGAAAGAAAGAAAAGAAAGAGAATAAAATTAAAAATAACCAAAGAAAGAAAGAAAGAAAAGAAAAAATAACCAAAGAAAGAAAGAAAGAAAATTAAAAATAACCAAAGAAAGAAAGAGAATAAAATTAAAAATAACCAATGAAAGAAAGAAAGAAAGAAAATAAAAAATAACCAAAGAAAAAAAACAAAAGAAAAGAAAAAATAACCAAAGAAAGAAAGAAAAGAAAATTAAAAATAACCAAAGAAAGAGAATAAAATTAAAAATAACCAATGAAAGAAAGAAAGAAAAAAGAAAATAAAAAATAACCAAAGAAAAAAACAAAAGAAAATTAAAAATAATCAAAGAAAGAGAATAAAATTAGAAAGAATAAAATGAGAATGAAAAAAAAAATAACCAAAGAAAGAAAGAAAGAAAAGAAAAAATAACCAAAGAAAGAAAGAAAAGAAAATTAAAAATAACCAAAGAAAGAGAATAAAATTAAAAATAACCAATGAAAGAAAGAAAGAAAGAAAGAAAAGAAAAAATAACCAAAGAAAGAAAGAAAAGAAAATTAAAAATAATCAAAGAAAGAGAATAAAATTAGAAAGAATAAAATGAGAATGAAAAAAAAATAACCAAAGAAAGAAAGAAAGAAAAGAAAAAATAACCAAAGAAAGAAAGAAAAGAAAATTAAAAATAACCAAAGAAAGAAAAGAAAATTAAAAATAATCAAAGAAAGAAAGAAAAGAAAATTAAAAATAACCAAAGAAAGAAAGAGAATAAGATTTAAAATAACTAAAGAATGAAAGAAAGAGAATAAAATAAAAAATAACCAAAAAGAAAGCGAATAAAATTAGAAATAACAAAAGAAAGAGAGAAAGCGAATAAAATTAGAAATAAACAAAGGCAGAAAGGATGGAAGAAGGAAAGAAAGAGAATAAAATTGAAAAGAAAGAAAGAAGGAAGGAAAAACTAAATGAATGAAAGAAAAGAGAATTAAAAATAACGACAGAGAATAAAGTCTAAGAAAAAAGAAAAGCAAAGTAAAAATCTAAAAAAGAAAGAAAAAAAGAAACATCAATGTTGTGTGTTACAATCATATAGCACCTCCCTGTCCGTTGCTGCCAAAATTTCGCGCCATTTTCCTTCATTCTATTTAGAAATGATGATAAAACCGCTTCCGTCGGAGCCGCCATTTTGTCATGAAATTGACATGGCTGCAAATCTAGAAGACATGTTAATACCAACTTTTCCCGCGTTAAATGCCCAGGACTTTATCGACACATCCGCTCTTATTTGCTCCCTTCGTGCCATAGCTAATCAACCCCCCACCCCCGCTTTGCTGTGTCTTCTTCATCTCTACTTCCTTTATTTCTATTTACTTGTTTCGCAGTTAAGTTGTTTGTTCCTGTCCACGGTGTTGGAAATTTAGAGAGAAAATTTTATCAGGCTCCACTGCTTTTGATTGACCGGTGCAACATTAAATGTCACCATGACAAATTAGTCCGCCTACATTTGGTTCGGTGTTTTCTGTATGGGAGGCAATAAACGAAAGAATTGTAGGTAACTGGATTGTGTTGCTGCATTGGGACACATTGCTTCGATTCTTCATTTCGGTTTATTATTTCAGTTTTTCTTCCTTTTCTTTGAGGATGAGCTTTGCTTCCCCGTTCTTTCTTTTTTCCTACCTTTCTTTCTTATTTTCTTTCTATATTTTATCCTTTTTTTTTCTATTTTCTTCCCTTCATTCTTTTAATCCTGGTCTTTCTGTCTTCCATTCTTTTATTCAAGGTCTTTTTGTCTTTCTTTTATTTCCTGCCTTTCTTTCTTATTTTCTTATTTTCTTTCTTTCTTTTATCCAATTTCTTCTGGGTTTTTTCTTCCCTTCATTCTTTTAATCCTAGTCTTTCTGTTTTCCCATTCTTTTATTCAAGGTCTTTTTTTCTTATTTTTCCTATCTTCCTCTCTTTCGTTCTTTCTTTCTTGCTTTCTTGTTTGTTTTCTTGTCTATCTATCTATCTATCTATCTATCTATCTATCTATCTATCTATCTATCTTTTTTTCTTTCTTTCTTTTTTTTCTTTCTTTTATTGCTTTTCTTTCTTTTTTATTCCATTCTTTCTTTTATTCCCGGTCTTCATGTATTCCATTCTTTCATTCAATATCTCTCTTTCTTTCTTTCTTTCTTTCTTTCTTTCTTTCTTTCTTTCTTGTTTTCTTTCATTCTTTTATTCCAATCCTTCCCTCCCTCCTTCCTTTCATTCTTTCTTTCATTCCTGGTCTATCTGTTTTTCTTTCTCTGCGTGAGAAAGAATGAGTTAAAGAAAGACTAGGAAATAAAGAAAAACTGATAGAGAATGAATGAAAGCGGTTAAACTTTGGAAAGAAAAGCCAGGGAAAAATTGTATTTTTTTTCCATTCCTTCTTACTTTATTCATTCTTCATGAAAGAATGACTAAAAAAGTCAGGATTATAGCCTAAGACTAGCTAATTCTGCGTGTCATAAGAAAGAAAGAAAGAAAGAAAGAAAGAAAGAAACGGAGTTAGAAGATAAGAATATTTTCTTTCTCTTTCTCCTGATCTATTTTTCCAACACTTTTTCTTTCTTTCTTTCTTTCTTTCTTTCTTTCTTTCTTTCTTAGGTCTTCTTTCTTTTTCTGTTTTTCCTTCCTTTGTCTTTTTTTCTCTATTTCTCTCAGTCTTTCCTTCAAAAAGACAGAAATCGGGAGAAGCAGCGAGGTAATTGGAAAGGGAGATAAGTCAGATATTAAAATCTATGGCGAATGACATCGAAATCACAGTGGATTAAATGAAATGGAGACACAGTTTTATATAATCAGTCATAATAAAGGACATCTTTTGAAAGATTTACCTCAGCGGAAACATTTCACTCTACCCAATATCGATAGAGAAATTGGAAAAGAAAGAAAGGGACGAGTATAACAGTCACAATATTCTAAATAAAGCGAAGAAAAGAATTCTACAAAGACAGAAGGCATAAAAAAAAAAGAAATTGAAAAAAATAATGATGAATGAAAAGAATCAAGGAATTTACATTGGTTTGACAAAAGAATTATGGTTAAGTGTAATAGTTAACATGCTGTTATCGAAATTGTTGAATAGTTAGTTCGATCCTTACTGGATACACCAAACTCGTGGCCTTGTACCAAAAACGAAATTAAGTTTATAACCATTTACCGGTCACTTCACAACAGAGTAATGGTTAACAGGCTGGCATCAAAAATATTTATTGTTGAATAGTGAATTCGATTCCGCCTGTATACACGAAACTCATTGCCTTGTACCAAAACTGCAGTACGTTTATAAACATTTACCAGCCGCATCACAATAGGGTAATGGTTAACAATTTGATATCGTAAAGCTTTTTTGGCCGAATAATAAGTTCGATTCTCACTGCGTACACCAAACTCGTGGGCTTCTATCAAAACATTTACCGGTTACATCACAATAGGGTAATGGTTAACAAGCGGGCATCGAAAATCTTTCGGCCGTGTACGACATCTAAGCTACGCTTAGAAATTCATCGTATTGAACGACTCGTTTCGTAAAGCGTTACTACTGTTTATTCTATGTACGTTGTCACTTCAGAATGTATGCAATCATGGCTCGCCATAGCTTCCTATCCTTTAAGCTGTTTATTTTCCATATAACCCATTCTTTTCCGATTTTAGAATAAACCTTTTTAGAATAAACCTTTTAAACATTATATACCCGCCATCTTGAATATTAAAAAAGAAGAGATGCGTTTACATTTTTGGCGTGGTTTCAACTTTGGTCATAATGCTTCTCAAACTGCTGCCAACATTAAGAGAGGATCGGCTGAAGGATCCGCTTGTGATGGAACAGTACGGCTCTGGTTTCTGAAGTTCCGCAGTGGGGATAAGAGTCTTGCGGATCAAGGCGGTAGAGGACGTCCACCTGCAATTGATTTAGCATTCGCAGGACATCTTGAACGTAAAAACGCGGGCGGTATAACAGTAAGTGACCTACTTCATGTTTTCTGTGAATAAATGATTGATGAAGAACAAAGACGGGTCCTAAAAGGCAAAAGTTACTTAGATCAAAAAGCGAAAGATGTGGAGAGCTACGATCGCCCACGTGCCGAAATTGCATATAAAATGAAGAAACTGCATATAAAAATGAAGAAACTCGATTTGTTCTACAAGAAAACGTTTTCAAGTGTGTTCTGCGAAATTCGAACGATCCATTTCTTGGTCGAATAGGGACACGTGCTAAGAAATCGATTGTTTATAATAATCGTAAACGATCTGCTTAATGGCTTCATCAGGACGAAATACACAAGCAGTTTCCAAAACTGAAACTGTACTAACAAAAAAAGTTACTGTAACTGTGTGATTATTCGCCATTAGCGTTGTCTGGAGCATGACTACTGATTGTCGGCAACAGGGTGAGATGCACAGTCAATTAAGCAAAATGCGACCGCCAAAGGCTAATCGACAACTTCCAATTCTGCTTCATGACAATACTCAGCAACATGTTGCCAGGGTGATACAGCAGTAGATCATCAACTTGGGCTACGAGACTTTGCCTCATCCAACATATTCTCCTGATTTCACACACTGACTATCATTTTTTTCGAGTATATTGACATTTTTAAGCCAAAAAACATTCCGTTGCAAAAAAGATGCATAAACTGCAATCAAAGATGTTTTGGCGCTCAAATCTTTTATCATAAAAGCATAACCTTATCACTCGATGGCAGAAATGTACCTTTAACCATTAACAAGGATGATTTTATTTTTTTACTTTTAAGTGAATGTATGGGTTGCATGTATGTATCTAGAGTTATGGAGATGTTTTGTTTTCCAAGCACAGTCAGCACATTGTGGCCGTGTTCGTAGTTAATGCTACTGAGTATTGGCTTTTTCTTTTTTTATTATTAAGGCTGCCATTATTTTGAATGTTTTTTTACATGTGGATGAGGTCATTATGCTTGTATTTTCTACTAGTATGTTTCTTATGTGGTCTGGTAGGTTTGTGGAGGTGTTTAAATAAATTTAAATGGAAATGCCGTCGGATAGGTGCAATGTATGTCGTCTGGATAGGCATGTAGTAGTGTGACCGATGAAATTATTTATGAATTTGGTTTGATCAGGAATAGAATTTCTTAAGGGGCATTTGAACTCGTAAATAACGTTCGTTCTGTAATTTCAATTTTGCAGGTGGATTGTTATTTTTAAGGATAAGGTAAACTGTTTAATTTTTTTATAATAGATAATTAATTTAATTTTTTTGTTCGGGTCATCTGTGGTAGTGTGACACTTCACTCCCACAAGTAACCTGCATATAGGTCCACATATTTTTGCAACAAATTATCTTGGGACATAAATAACAGGAATATTTGCTGACGCTTTTCGTCCCTTAGCCGGTCAATATGACTGATTTCAAAATTTCTGATACAACTTTGACCCAAATATCTCCAGTTTTCCTCCATTTGCGGACCTTCGTTACTATATTCTTAATAGTTAATATAATGAAAAAATAACACAATGATAAAATTGGTCAATAATTATTTATACTGGGGGCTCCTGCACGCAATTACAAGTAATTCATAACAATATTTTAAATTTTTAAATCATATTTATTTTTGGCATATGAATTATTTGAAAGTGTTTCTAAATCTTTGATTGTCTTTAAATCATTCCGCCTCACCTGCTATCCTCTTCCGCCTCACCTGCTATCCTCTTCTGCTAGACCTGATATCTTCTTCCACCTCACTTGATATCCTCTTCCGCCGAACCTGATATTCTCTTCCGCTCCACCTGCTATCCTCTTCTGCCTCACCTGCTATCCGCCGGAACTGCTATCCTCTTCCGCCTCACCCGCTATCCTCTTCCGCCCCACCTGCTATCCTCTTTCGCTGGGCCTGATATCTTCTTCCGCCTCACCTGATATCTTCTTCCGCTTCACCTGATATCTCTTCCGCCGAACCTGATATTCTCTTCTGATGCATCTGCTATCCTCTTCCGCCTCACCTGATATCTTCTTCCGCAAAAAACAAAAAACAAAACAACTAATTCGTAAATTTGAAAACTTTAATAAAAAAATTAATAAACAGAACTTGTCCTTATTATTTAACCAAATATGATTAAGACAATTATTGCTGCCGAAATACACCTCATATATATATATATATATATATATATATATATACACACACACACACACATATATATATATATATATATATATATATATATATATATATATATATATATATATATATATATATAGGTGTGATGTGTGTGTGTGTGTGTAACAGAATGCACGGCCGCAATTTTCGACGGATTTGCACTAAAATTTACATGCACATGCTCCAAGTTAGCAGCAAGGCCAAGACCGACTTTGCATTTCCCAACTTCCATCGATAGTGGAAATAATCGATTTTTTCATGCTTCTACGGCACTTTTCATGTAGCTTACGGCCATTTTCTACTGGCCAGAGTGAGAGCCTATAGCTGGCTGCCACGAATAGGCAGGAAGATTCTATTGGCCAGCGTGAGAGCCAACAGCTGACTGACACGAATGTGAACTAGCATGCTGGCATGCAAAAAAAATCGATAGCTGCATTCCTCACAAGTGGGAAAAATTTAAATCTGCATGGCACTTTACTCCAATTGGCTCATTCGCTTGCTTAAACTCAACGTTGATTCTGATTCCGCAGAACTGGATTGGGTGTGAAAAGTATTTGTTGTTAACATTCTTTTTCATTCGGTTTTTTCAGTTACGAGTCCTTTTTTAAAGCTGATCGTTTGGTGTTCATTTTGTTTAGTTCTTTTTCGTAACAGATTTAATGTTTAGTATAGAGCTTAGAAAAAATTTGCAGTGTGAGATAGGCAAGAAGTAAGGCATGTAGCAACATCAGCACGTCAAAGGGCACTTCTTTAAAGACAAGGAAGGGCAAAAAATATTTTAAGTCGAGTGATAGCGATTGCTGCATGAGTCTTACGATTTTTGAATCAAGCACAGGCCACGCCGGGCCATGATGCTATATATATATATATATATATATATATATATATATATATATATATATATATATATATATATACATATATATATACCTGAAATGAAATTGAAACTAAAGTATCGGAAACGGATGATTTCCTAATTTATATATATATATATATATATATATATATATATATATACAATGCTTTCTAAGTATATCTGGGAAATTAAAAACAAAACACCCATCACACCAAAAATATCTTGGAAAATAAGGAAAAGATCATCAGTCCAAAACTTGGAAAATATAACAACCACTCAAAAAATGTCTATGATTACCTTCCCAGACCAAAATAAGTTACTAACTAAAAGATCCGAGCTCAACTCAAAATGCAGGCATGAAAACAAATTTTTACTGCGTTACTTAAAAATCGAAAACTGAAAAAAAATAAAATAAAAACAAATAAATAAACTAAATGACAATAAAATAAGTAAAATAAATTAACCCAAATAAATTACCAAATCACACCAGTTGGAATAGACGAAATAGAATAAATAAAAAAATTTTTATAAATCAATGAACCCAAATAAATAAAATAAATAATAAACAAATTAATAAACCATTATGACCAAAATATTAGTTAGACTATGAA